TGTTGGCATGCGATGTACATATGTGCTGATTCTGAGGATATCTAGAAACGGCGGACGTAAATTTTCCTCTTTTTATATTCTTCTTATATTCGCTATCAGTAGCGATAGTGGGGAACTTGTTGGTAGGCCACCATCCTTGGCATAAAACTTGTCTTTAATTTGAAAATAAAAGTTATGTAGACAATACCGCAAGAGTTCCAGCACTCTCTCGAGTGGCAGCAAAAACCGGTTCTGAAAATGTCTCCTATCTCTATCTAGCCTCGACAGTGTCTAAGATTTTTTCACAGGGTCGTTGTTCATTTTGAGTTTTTTCTAAAGTGGTAAAAAGAATCTGAAATACTGTTTACAAATCCTCTGGAGTCCTCCTGCGTCGGTTGTGGATAAATTGTAAGCTGAGGTTTCTTCTGAGCTTAACTGAAGCTGTAACAGGATGATTGACGAAACGTCAGCAGGGACGATTTATCAGTAACAGGTGCAGGATGAATCCAGAAGATTTGTAAATAGTATTAATCTAGCATGTGGAAGTTAGGCTTAATAGGCATAATTAAAACTAATTGTTTTTTAGTACGAGCTGAAAATGATAGCAGCTCCCATTTGTTATTTAAGCGTTTTATTCGTTCAAATATTTGTCTTCGCCTGGAGTGCTAATGAAGTGAAAGTACAGGTAAAGATTTGTCGCCACATTAAATAATGTATGCAGCTATTATGAACGAAATATATGTTTTCCATTTAGATATATATTTTCCAGAATGTTACAAGATTTTCTTAGAGCTTATTGCTAGCAGACGCAATATATGACAGTCAGTGGTACAAACATAACGAAGCCGCAAAGAAGATAATGTTAACTATGATGGTTAGATCTCAAAAACCATTATTGCTAACCATAGGTCCATTTGGTGCTATGACAACCGAGTTTGCTTTAGCCGCAAGTTAGTGTTACTTTGCTTGCTAAAATTTACAACCATGTTTCCGCTCTTTTACAGATAATAAGAGCGTCGTATTCATATGTCACGCTAATGAATGAATACGGGCACACGCGTTAGACAGCTGAGGCCGAATTATACAGTTTTTTTAGATTTTTCGAATTATTTCGTAATAGTTTTAATATTTGGATCATAGATTATTTTCTAGATTAATTTTGCAAAGATAAAGAGTTATTACTATCTTGCAATAGATTTAAGACATATTTTGTAAAATTATTGACTGCTGTAAAATTTTATTAATTATTTTTATTATTACTATTTACAAATCTTCTGGATCCCTCCTGCGTCTGTTATTGATGGATCAAACTTGCGGATATTTCGCCAACACGATGATGGGCAAAACATTAGCAAGTTCAATTCATCAACAACCAACGCAGGAAAAATTCAGAAGATTTGTAAATAGTATTGCACTAGCCCTGGGAAAATTATTTTTATTATTATTATTTATATGACGTTTATTAAAAGATCACTGTTGCACTCTGCTGTGGATATCTGACGTTAGGAATGGAACTTAATTATGTAATTATGTAAATTTTTGGCAGACTCTTAACGTATTTTAATAAAATGCAAGTGGATTTCACAATGAACCAGAATTTGTTATGTGAAATCATTTCAACGCTTGCCACTGTTATGATGGATGTTGACAAATCACGTAAGTGCCTATCCATTTCGGTTGTGTCGTCCCGGTTGTCGGATGACTGTCATTTGTGGAGCTGAATTAGTTGTTTCATTTTTGCACCAGGAGATATTTGTATTTAGACTTAATCTGAATAGATGCCTTTAAACGAAGTGCAAGAACCACGTAGTTGGTTTAATTTTTGAAACTAATAAATCAAAATTATTAACACATGCATTTCTTAAATGGTGAATTTATTGGTTTTTTTTTCAAACATAAATGCCGCCGTTAAAAAAAAACTTCCTATAAATGTTATAGCGCAAAATGATTCCAAAAATGTAGCTGCAGTAACTTGAGGCAAAAAGGGGGTAACTGTTAGGATAATATAATAAGTAATGCAGAAGGTGGGTTCATACCCCCCAGGTGCATTTTCAAGCGTAAAAATATGAAGAATTTGTTCCTCGCAAGCCTCAAGGTTCAGTAGTTCTTATTTCGGATAGCCATGCCTCCCACTATTCTTACTTAAAAGTTTTAGAATATGCAGAAGCAAACGATGTCATACTTCTCTGTCTTTTCGTGTGCCTTATCTCGCCCATAACCGTGGTTGAGTTGATTTTGTCTTATATTCCGTGATTATAGATGCAGCATGCTTTTAAAACCTTTTATTAGGATTCTAATTACACATTTTACAAACGCCCGATTAACGCCGTTTCCTTGAACTGTTTATACGCTACTTGTTTATGGCGATATCCTGGTAACAATGCACACTAGATGTCATTTTGACATCTAGTGTTTAATGTTTAAAACCATTTGGTTTTAAACATTAAACTAAGCTTCATCAAAGCTTAACAAAAAATTGTTACATGACTACACACATTTTTACACATGCACATAAATCTAGATTAACAGGCTTCTTACATACACGTGCAAATCTAGATTTTATAGTTAAGAATTACCTTTTTTTTCTTTACACACATCATTGTTATCGACATCTGGTACATATTGATTTTCATAGTCAAAATCCCTATTTACTAATGGATTGTATTCATTTAAAGAAAAGATCGTACAATGTATTAAAAAGATTTTCATCTTTTTAACACATTGTACGATCTAGCATTATGTGCGACGTTAACAAGTTTACCAGACTCTCACGAATTATTATTGTGGTTAAAAACCGATACATTTTGATTATGCTGCAAGGCCTTTAAATCCTTAGCTGTTTTATTATAATAAAGTTTATTTCGGTCCTGTCGAGATATGAGTTTATGCTTAACACCTGCACACAATCTTGGTTTTAATAACTCGGCTGATACAGGTAACTTAGATTTAAAAATCCGATTCATGAGTAATTGGGCCGGGGAGTAATGAACAAATTTTACGGGAGTATTCCTGTATTGCATTAAACTTTCAAATAAATCTTTGCCCTCTCTTACTAATGTCGACAGACTTGTCTGCCAGGCCATTTCATTTAGGACATTGAGGACTGCGAAAATTTACATTAAAATTCCATTCTTGAGTGAAATTTTCAAAACAGTAGCTATTAAATGGAACATTATCTGCAAACTAATATTTCTGGTTATCCAAATTTAGAAAAAAATACATTTCTTCAATGCCAAGGTTCCCTCCATGTAGTTTAACTGGGCACAACTAGTTTATAGCTGTAGAACAGTAAGCCATCAGAAACTGATAATTCATATCTAAATTTATAGAACTGTTTAGTAAAGATTTGTAATTTACTGTGATCTGACCATTTTGTTTGAACAAAACTAATAATAGTTTGCAACTGCAACTTACCTATATTTACCAAGTCTAGTCCAATCTCCCGAACACCATGTCTTATATTGACGGAACGGAAATATAGAAGCTATTTCGCAACATGACATTTTAATGAACATACTACTCCCATACTGAAGATATTTTTTTATGCAGCTGTTCCAGGTTCTATATAGGTCCTACGAGTAGCTAGGGAAAAAAACGGTCCACCTCTGCAGAGGCCCGAGGTGCGCCCGGTGCCTCGGGGTTGCGATCGGTAGAGACTGATCTTCTATCCAGCCATTCTAGGCCCGACTCCCCACCATAGAATATAGGATTTTTATTGAGGTTTACTCCTCTTGGTCCAAGTGGTGAAGCTCAGACCCTCCGCGTCGCGTGCCCACCCGTCGAGCCGGCATGGTTTTACAAGCCAGTGGGCACCGTTATACCCTGTGCAAGCCCTTAGCTACGACACGGCAGCTGGGCAGAGTGAGCTGGTCCGCGACTGGTTATTTGTCAGCCCTACTGGATTTTTACCTCCTCATGCCTCTTTATTCCCAACCACCCAGGCCCGTGAGAGCCTGGGCTCCCCTATCCGCCACCCGGGGACACGCCTCATGGATTGTTCAACCACAGAGGCGATTTAATAGGAAATCGCAACGAAAAAGTCAAGTGTTTAGCTGTACGGGTTGCGAAAAAAAAATTATTTTATATTTGGTTGTTGGTTGTAAAATTTCTTAAAAAGTATTTTTGTTATCTCGGAAAATGTTCAGGATAGGTTGGTATGTGTTAATTAAAAAAGTTACAGAATGTTTCGCGGAATCTAAAAATGTAATAATTCAAAAAAAAACATAAGTTGATATATGTTACGAGTATATCTGGCAACACCGCAAGACAATAATGTTTTACATAGGTAGCTCATATTCGCTTACATAAGTAACCAACATTTCAGGTTTTTACCGTAAGACATTCTCCATAGGACACTCGCCGCGAATAACCCTGTATATTGATGTGTTCAATTTAACAATATTTTGTAGTCAGCATGCAAATTAAAGGTTACTGAATAAAAACATCTCTTTTTAATTAGTGTATCTAGCTACAATGGGAATTGAATTTGGCTTTTCGTCTAACCTCTCAACAGTTCCTTGTCTTCTTCCTTTAGGTACAGGACTCATCTTTCTTTCAACTTGCGATAAACAGATTCATCTGGTATTAGTAGGGTGAGTAGTGGCAATCGATTTTATATTATACAAGAAAACTCTGGATACTTGATAGTGGATACTGGATAATTGAGCATCACCTCCCCTGAACTGAACTGGAATTTGTATAGTAAAGATTACTAGAGTGATAAGCTTCGTCGGTCATGATTTAGTCCAGACTGTGTATTCAAGCTTCTTTTATCTAAAATTTATTCATATGAATTAATACGATTTCAAGCGTCGACAAACTGTCACACCGCTTCAGTTCCCAGAATAATCTTTTATTCACGATAAAAATATAGTAAGACACTGTCAATACATTGCGGCAAGCTAAGTATTTGCATAATTACAAGGCAGGAAAAACGCAACTGGCAATGTGGCCAAACGCTCCATAAATAATGCTATAAATATCCAACTAAAAGGGGACTTCTCTGTATTACAGGTTAGCTCTTATAAGAAGGATATATTTGCGCATAGTTTATTTCCACATGTTGAAGCGATGTCACTGGTATTTTGAAAAGCAGGACTTGGTGGCACACAACTAACGAAAACGAAGTAAACGAAAGTAAACCGCAAGTAAGATTTAATGCTTTTTTCTAAAGATTTCTTTTTAAATATAAAAATATATAAATATATAAATATAAAATTTGTTGTCGAAAATGTATTTGTTTTTGTATTTACTGAAATTTGAAATTAATAAAGTTGCATAAGCAATTTGGATATTTTTTGGAAAAAGGGAGCCTCTACCTAGCCGTATGCCTTATATTGGCTATACTCATTTGCTGGGTAATAAAAAATTATATAAATAAAACAAAAACACAAATACACATTTGGCTGATGGGGAGCAAAAGTCACTGTTCAAGGCGTATCTTTCTTTTATATACACTTATTGTATCTGGCGTTTGGCGAATCTGAGGATCTCTACACTTTTTCTTAAACAACCGCTTTTCACTCTTCATAAGGTAACATATTTTTTAATTACCTTTTATATAAAATTTGTTACACTTCTAGGTTGCTTTATACTTAAAATACAAATAAGATCCCAATCTAAACGAAGCAAGCTTTCTGGACAACCAACCAATTAAATTTTTAGCTGAGAAAATGAAGCGCGGTGTGTGTATTCACAAGAGGGCAGATCAACGTAATAAGAACCTCCGATCCTGTAGAAGAACAGAAGAACTGAAACAGATCATTATTTCCCCGAATAATTCTTTATTCACGGTAAAAATTGGGGCAAGCAAGTGCCCATATTTTGTAGGAACCTTATCTTTTGAATAATTATAGAGCTGAAAAAAAGCAAATGACAATGTGGCGGTTTAACTTTCTAGTGGAAAAAATCAATCTCAGTAAATGCTATAAATTGTCAACTGAAATGCAACTCTTAGCTCATGTGTGCAAAATGTGTTTATGGTAAATGAAGTTCCAACATTGAGTTGGAGTTTTATATTCTGTAAGTAGAACTTTGTTCCATGCATAAATTTTTAATTGCTAAATTAACAGCTAATAATCATCAAACAATATTCTAAGAAATTTTTTTATTGGTTCGTCGATATTTAAAGCACCAATAACATTAGGAAGGTTTACTGTTATGTAGAGGCGTACCTTTTGTCTTCCTTAAAAATTGTTATTAGGCATTAATTATTTGGCTCTAGGTCCACTTCTAGAGAATATCTGTTGCCCATGCACAGCGTTACTTGTTCAGCTCTAAATTTATAAATTTCGTAGGTTTCGTTCTAGCATTTATAATGTTTTTCATTATAGTCAATGTTGTGTTTATTTATCAAAAAACTTTCGCATAAACACATAAGCCTACCAAATCTCGGAATTACATCCTCGTTACTACAATTAAAATTGCTGGACATTCGAAAAGATACAAAAAAGAAACATCAAATTTTATAATTTATTGTGGTTGGTTGTAAATTAAGCACTACATTTTTCGAAAATTTGAGAACATGAGAAAATATTTTTTTAAATTCTAGGAAAGCTTTTCACCCCCCGTTATAAAAAATTGCATAATTAAAAAACACACATTTGCTATAATGCAGCGATAGGACCCGAATGAAACGAATAGTTTCGAGTTTTTGTTTACCCGAGTGTCCAGAAATTTATTTAGTGGACGTTTAAGAAAAGGATTTAATTTAGAAATTTGACATATTACTTTTATTGCAGCACAATAAAATGGGTCTTGTTGGGGATAGCAAATCCATTATAAATTTCGCAAAATACTGTATGATAAGTGCAGGTATGTAGTATCCTCACAACTTTATATGCTGCCTATTCGACACTGGTGCGAAGCTACTGTCGACTATTTGTGATTTGTCATTGCATACAGTGTATTGTGATAACGATGGAACACAAGTTCGAATTTACCGAAAAAATCTTCAAACAAGTATCGTACAGTTTTACGTTCGTTGTGATTGAAGCTACGGCATCCATTTGGCAGGGAAAGACTGTGACTTTACTGATATCTTACGTGATTAAAAAAGAAACGACGGTATTGCAATCAGATAGAGACGAAGTTATCCAAAGCCATGCGACGCAAGTTCAGTTCTGCAACAAATGTAATTGATTAATAACCACCCTCTCCACATTTGCCGTGATCAGTATAGTAGTAGAGAATATTTGGCTAAGGCAGCAGATAAATATATTCAATAAATTATACAATGCTACTCTAGACATACCAGCGCCATATGATTTATACTACTTTAAAATGAACACTCAAAAACACTAGATAATAGTTATGTTGCTTAATTGGTTCGCGTTACCTATCAACGCTATAAATTTCGTTTCCACGAAAAGTTTTTTTTTCTTCTGCACTATTTGTGCCATCGGTTTTGAAACAGCTGATAAGAGAAGTTGCTTCCGATAATGAGGAACTGTTATTGACGTTGCCGCAACTCGTGATGGAGCACCAGGAAATCATTAAGTAATTATTAATTACATCTCTTTAAAAGTTAAAGCAGTCCAAATATATGTTTGTCAACACATACAGTTGCTCACGGTAAAAATGGTTAAATTGCATTTAATCAAAAATCGGTAACGAATTGGTTAAATAATTTTTCTCATAAAATATGTGTTTAAAATAACGTATTTCCTGTGTTATTTAAGGACACCATAATAACTGAATCTGAACGTCACCATGCTAGGTGCTAGCATATAAGAAAAATCCCAAAAATAAGAAAATTTACGGAACTTCTACATTGTTAATTTGGCATTCACAATGTACTTAAAAATTGTATTAATGTTTTTTCTTAAAAGATTGAACACATCACATCGAGGCCAAATTTTGGGTTTGACGGTCACAGTATTTTGCGATATCACCATTCCATACCAAACCATCATCTTGGAAGTCAACTTGAACATAACAGGGGGCAGCGAAATGCTTTCTGAAAATGTGTTCTACCTCAATCTAGCCTCGATAATAGCTACCGATTATTTCATAGAGGTAGTGCTGAATAAGCTTTTTAAATCGATGCTAACGAATTTGTCCGAAGAACTTGATTCTAGCATTTTAGCATATTTACACAATATTTTGAGTTCTTAACAAATCAAGTTGATTTGCGTACCACTTTGGTCCTAAGTTTAATATAGGTCCTTTAATTAATTGATAATGGTGGTTTGTTTTAGTAAATGGAAAAAAATAGATATAAGAATCTGAAGGTAGCTCATAAAAGGCAGATTTGTTTTATACACGTACTAATTGAAGTTCACCTTTTTTTAGTTCGACCTAAAAATGATACCAGCCCCCCTTTCTTATTTAAGCATTTTGTTTGTTCAAGTATTTGTCTTCGCCTGGAGTGCTAACGAAGTAAAAGTGCAGGTAATGATTGTCACGACATTTAATAATACAAGCAGCTATTAAGAACGATGTAAACTGCGATTGAGATCTCTGTTAACTAGTATTACATATAATAATATAACAAACATTTTCGGAAATTGACTAAGTAATTCATTTAATAAAATTATTGGCAACTATTAATTTGCAGAGTTTATTGCTAGCAGATGCTCTATATGACAGTCAGTGGTACAAATATAACGAGGCCGCAAAGAAGATGGTGTTAACTATGATGGTTAGGGCTCAAAAGCCGTTATTGCTAACCATAGGTCCATTTGGTGCTCTGACAACCGAATCTGCGTTAGCGGCAAGTTAGTATTACTTGGGTTGCTAAAAGTTACAACCACGTTTCTTACAGATAATAAGAGCGTCGTATTCATATGTCACTCTGATGAACCAATATAAACACAATGGGTAGCAATGGCCGATTTTGCGATAGGTTAATTTTGAATACATATTACGATTTTGTAATAGACAAAGGCCCATTATGTAAAATTATTGACTGCGTTATTTTATTATTATTTATAAAGATTTGTCTGTAAATGAATAAATTTTGTTGAACGTTTTAATTGTTTTTGTACAAAATTTTAAAGGCAATTGTGAAATAAAAAACATTTTTAATAATTTTAACATTGCTGGAGTGAATTCAAAAAAGAAAGAGATAAGAAAAAAATAAATTAATATTAATTTGATAGGTACTGGTTTTATGATCGGTTTCTATTATGATAAATGTATTGTTTAAATTTTTGTGTGAATGTGTGAGGTGATTGATCTCAGGTGGAGAGGAAGTTTGTTGTATCCCTTGGTAACATTATACATGTAACTTCGAACTTACGAATGTTGTATGAAAATGTGAGACAGGCATTCTGAAGGCGCTGAAGACTAACCTTGTCCATTTGAAGTAGGACAGGCCAATAAATTACCATGCATTATGAAATTGTGTCCAGAATATCTTTATTACAGTAGAGAATTCGAAGCTTGTAAAACGATTTCTGGATCAATGGTTACCAAGGAGCTGGCGGTTTTGTTATCTTCGCACTTATTCACTTCTTATATTTAGACAGTGCTTTATGTCTGAACTTCATCATTATCTTTATGTTTTCCGTGAGCCAAGGAGCTGGCGGTTTTGTTATATTCGCACTTTTTAGAGCAGGATGCAAGCCGAACACCTCCAGTAAGTTAGCATTAAAAACATCTACCACTTTATCAACGTCAGTTAATGCGAATATTTCATCCCAATTAATATTGGTTTAAATAGAAAAAGTAAATGGTAAATAGAAAATGTTCATAACAAAAATCCATGTAGGTTTTAAAAACTGATTTGGGTTTAGATTTAGGTATCTTCAATTTACAGTATACCATATGATGGCCATCTTAAATATCCTGGGCTCTATCACGATATTAGGGGAGGAACTGATAATTAAATCAGTGAGAGTCGAGGTACTATGTCTTACCCTAATAGGTTCCGGAATATGTTAAAAAAGATCATACTTGCTCAAAATATTGGAAAGAACTTTATTTCAAGTGACTGCAGACAGTCATCCAGATTCAAGTGAGGAGGAGGGTTCCAAAATAAACCTTTCTACTAGCAATTATATTACGTCTATTATAACATCAGAACTTTTCACAGAAAACAGAAATGTTACATTATGTTTATCATACACCCAGATGATCAGATTCAAAAGTCAAATTTTCCGTGGATTTCAGACATTACGAATAAAGAATCCCCGTTATTGGGACAAATTAATTTTTACTTTGAAAATAGTAAGAGTAAATATGATGAACAAAGTAAATTACGCTGGCGGTGTTAGTTGAAACACGTTGTCCATTTGCGTTGCGTCGTCCTGGTTTTCGTATAACCGTCCATCGTTGGTATTTGTGTTGAGACTTAATCTGAATAGACGCAATTAAATGAACTTCAATTTTCATATCAATAGTAATGACAATAACCATTTGTCCCACTATTTTAATTTTCCAAAATATTAAATCAAAATTATTTGCATGGCAAATTACGAAGGACAAAATGTAAAAAAAAAAATTGAGAACTATTAGTTTGCATTTCTAAATTTTTAAATTTGACGAACGGAAATGTTTGATGTTTAAATATTATAATATATAAATATTTATAAGTAATTAAAGGTAATATAACATGTTAATTTTCGAAATACAGGATGGTAAATTTTATTAAACATTATCTATGATAAGATTTGCGATATCTATGTGAAATTTATTTGGGCATCGGGGAATATTTTTGATGCCCATCACTTTTTTATTTCCCCCAGTGGTGTCCTGGCATGAATTTTATCGCATATTTATTAAGGAAAAAATAGTACGTCACTGATTCTCTTCAGGTGAAATTTTCGTTCCACATTTTCTCCATAAATATGCGATACAAGTCACACACGGATGCCACTGGCAGTGGTGCATCTAAAAATGTCTCTTGATGTGCAAAATGCACTTACAGAATTTCTTATCTTCAAATTTCATAGTTAGAACATACGTTCATATAAAGTTTTTTTAAGTTTTGAGTTTTAAAATATACTCAAAAGTGTATTTTAATATAACCCTTTCATTACTGACTCGCCATTAAGTAAGAACCTGTATCCATGCTGCTAAAGTGTTTTATTCACCAATATATACCATTTTCACCAATATTTACCATACCCTGATTTACCCGATGTGTTTGCAGTGTAGTCAATAAATAAGCGCCGAGCCAGGGGCGGAACGTTTCCCGCAGAGGCTTCCTTTCCCGCGATTTAACAGCCACTTAACGAGCTTCTGGTTTTATTCATTTTTAATGCTCGATTTGAATTTATAAGAGCTACTTAACGAAACTGTAAATAACGCAAAAATTTATAGACGTCGCTTATATTAGGCGTAAATTACCGAGCGAGTATAAATAAAAGGATGAACGATGGAAACGCGAAACAAATTGTCCACGTCCGCGAGTTATTAACAATTAACATCTGTGGCGGTGTTTATTTAAAACTAGTAAAAGGTGCCTCATAAATTACAGATGAAATACTAATTTCAGTATGTAAATTATTTTTCGGAATGGGGGAGCCGGGGGAGTGGGGGACTGGGATGCGTGACGGGTTGGATCCCGCGCGCGGATGAGATTTTATCGTTTGTTTCGGGAGAAAAAATCTGCTCGCATCATCAGACCAACGTTTCCGGGTGAGCGTAGAAAACGAGATTATGCCATTCGTCGCGCGTTTGCGTTTCATTACGGATATGTGATGAATTTTTGACCGTAACGTGTGGAAATGTCGTTGCGCATTTGCCACAGACGTGGAAGAGAAATAGCTAAAATTATATATTATAGAGGATTGTCTGCAAATGAATAAATTTTGTTGAACGTTTAAATTGTTTTCGTAGAATTTTTATTACAAATCTAATTTACAAGTAATCTATTCCATTTACTTGCACCATATAAAAGTGACTTTAGAAACCATTAACGCGACTGCTACTAAAATTAAATTACCAAAACTATACTAAGAAATGAAGAATGAAAGAAAAAGTTAGACAATAGTTGTACGGTTTAAAATGAGATTCTTTTTGTCGTTTTTAACAATAAATTTTTGATATCGCGCATTATAGTAAAAAAAATAATTAAATTTTACAATTAGTGTGTGTTTAAGAAAAAACTATATGAAAATAGATCCAACAAATTCTTCCTGCTTGGGAAACTTTCGTCAAAACGGACATGCAGCAACGGTGCCACTATGGTAATGTTTCGTTTTGTGCGTATTTATATTGTATAAAAATGCACAAAAACACAGAGAATTCTAAAATATATTTCAATGTAGAAAAATCAGCTGAATTCGAAAGAAACTCATTTAAACCTTGTACCTCTTTTATTGCAATAATTTTAAATAAATGTACTAAGATGACAACAATATTTGTTTTGCTAAATTATTTCTTAGGTAGACTTTTTTTTTTTTGGTTAAATAACAAAAGCTTGTACTGGTTGAATATATTTTAGTTATTTCTAATATTGGATACTTATATACATATTTACTTGTACTTATATTACTTACTTATATTACGATACTTATATATTTTTAGGAATTTTTAGGAATACTAGAATTATTATTATCTAAAATAAAACGATTATTGGAATCCAAACATTTTTTTTTGGATGCTTATAAAATGGAGGATGAAAACGAATACCTACTTTATAGATCTAAATTAATTAATAATATGCAGGGGGTAATTGAAGAAAATAGCTTTTTGACACCTTCTGTTCAATATTGACTTAACCCTTATTTTATTGGTAATGCAAAAGACGGAATTTTCAAAAAATATATATGACCGCAGTGCATGGATTTTCAGTAAGGAATACCAAACAAATTTTTTTTTTTCGTAGGATCAATAAATATACAATACAATTACAATATCTAAGTTACATACCGTGAAGGACTTCCTGTTATCATTCCCTTTCGATATTAGACACACATTTTTTTTTTAATTTTTCAATACAGGACACAACATATAGTACAGTACAGTAGTTAGTTATGATATTCGAAGTTTGAAAATCATTTTAATTGAGAATTGGAAGGTTTATAGATCAATAAAATGAAATGGCTTTGGAAAATGAAGGAATTAGAAAAACTGTCCGCGATATTTGGACATAACTAATCTTTTGAAATTTTCTATAGCTAGAAGTTTTCAATGCTAGGTTTGGGGATTTTAACTTCGAAAACATGGACCTATAATTGGGACAGTAAAGTTGGAGTTTCTTAATTTCCTAATTTTTCAATATTCTGAAACTGCCCAAACAAACTCAACTCCTCACACCTCATAGCACTTCTTGATTTTCGGTTTTAAAAAATTGTCTCTTTTGTAAAATGTATCCAACAAAAAACGAATTATTAATATCGGTCGATAACAAAACATTTTAGAAGGGTGTAGAGTACTCACTTGCTTTCCCATTCCTGTGGCGTCAAATAAATGTCAATTAATTGCCTTTGTAAAATTTCTTCCTAGTGGAACCGACTACATATCAAACCCACTTCTTCGTTGATGATTTGCTTGTGAGTCAGATTTGTATTTTATCTTTTGTTTGCTCTCCTTCCGAGGTAAAAATTTAAGTTCGACAAAAAGTTGCGGGTTCCCGTTCGAAGTGGCCCGCCATATTTCCTTTTACGTTTTTCTTAAGTGCGGAATTTTTCGACATCTTTTCGAAAAATATTTCAGGTTTTTTTATGGGCGAGACCGGGGCGGAATTATGCGAGCCGTCAGCAAACGGAATGCACCGAGTCAACATCAGTGGCGACAAATTTGGAAAATTT